CTGTGCCTGGGTGCTGTCCCTCAGCTCTTCAGCTCAAGGCTAGCACTCTACCACTTGAGCCACAGCGCCACTTCCAGCTTTTTTCTTTTTGCTTTATGTGGTGCTGAGGAATCGAACCCAGGGCCTCATGCATGCAAGGCAACCGCTCTACCACTGAGCCACCTTCCCAGCCCCTCCTCCTTCATTCTTTAATTCAGATGTGCCACAAATGCTGTTGTCCCTTATTTCAAGACTACTTAAAACACTTAATCAAATGTATGCTTTTAGATATTTTTGACTTCTTTATTCCCAAAGTCATCTCCAACCCCTCAAATCACCAAACAAACACTGAAAACCATAAACTATTCTTTAAAGGACCTCACATGATGACTTCTTTGGAATAGGACTTTAAAAAATCTTAAAGTCTGGGCTGGGAAGGTAGCTCAGTGGTAGAGTGCTTGCCTCACATGCATGAGGCTCTGGAAGTGGCACTGTGGCTCAAGTGGTAGAGCTCTAGCCTTGAGCTAAAGAACTGAAGGGACAGTGCCCAGGCCCAGAGTTCAGGCCCCATGATCTGCAAAAAAACAAAACAAACTTAAAGTCTTCCTTGGTAAATAAATGCAAGAGAATAAAAGATGTAGTATTTGTGTCTTAGTAGATATACCATATGACATGTGGTTGTTAAATCTTATCTGTCTCAAAAATGGAGGATGAAAATCCTACTTCCAGTCTGTCTTAAGAGACATTGGGAAGGGAAGGAATTTAAAAAATGAGAGCTTTTGAGTTCCTCAGCTTGTAAACTCAAAGTCTATGAGGATTATTGCTAAGGTCCTCTTTCTCTTGATTTTCTTGAGCTGAAACAGATAAGACAGTTGTTGGTTCATCAGCAGCCCCTGGCAACACTGCTCCATCCCCGTCCTCTCCTACTTCTCCCACTCTGGATCCCACTGCCTCTCTGGAGATGAACAATCCTCATGCCATCCCACGTCGGCATGCACCAATTGAACAGCTTGCTCGCCAAGGCTCTTTCCGTGGATTTCCTGCTCTTAGCCAGAAGATGTCACCCTTTAAACGCCAACTATCCCTACGCATCAACGAGTTGCCTTCCACTATGCAGCGGAAGACTGATTTCCCCATAAAAAATGCAGGTAACAGCGTGCGCCTGACTCAGCAAGAGCTCTAGCACTGATTACCATCACTTCCAGTGGCAACACAAATCCTACCCAGCTCGCTGCCCCTCTCTGAGGCTGGGAGAAAACTAAGGTCCATAGAGGTGAATCATTCATTTCTCTTCAACACGTAGATGATGGAATTCTTGCCTAAGCCATGGGTTTATGGTTTGTCCTGATGTAAGTACATTACCTCTCAGCCAGCCTGTTTGTAAACATCAAAGCCCTCAAATTTCCATTCTTATTCTGCTATTTGGGACTCAGGAGAGAATTCATTAAAGAAGCCTTAGAAATTTGCACAGTTAAATAACACCACCGGCAGATGTACCAGAAGAAATGAATAAGTGTTCATTGTCCTTGTAGCTGATTGTCCTCATAGGGAGGAAACTCTAAACCAGTCTCTTGTCTAAATCTAAGATCTGTTATTCATCAGAAACAGTGAGCTTCCTTACATTTATTCATTAAGTTTCAAAATTGCCACACAGGCCTTTGTGTGGCTTCTGTTCAACAGAGCCAGCTCCTAAGCTGTATCCTCATCATGTGATCCAGTATTAGATCTTGTCAGTGCTTCTGCCGGACAGTATTTTACTTCCCTCTGAGATATATCAAGCTATTACTGTAAAAGAACATGAGGAAGCTTCATCTCAGCAGGCACTCCCATTGGCAGTAGTATGAAAATAAAGAGTTATTCTTTTGACAGATAAAGGTAGACTTAAAGAATGGTTGAACTAAGTGATCACTAAGGGTCTTTTCAGCTTCCAATGTCTTTTTTTAAATAAGTTTTTTATTGTGAAAATACTGTACAGAGGGGCTACAGTTACATGAGCAAGGTAATGAGTACATTTCTTATCCAGCATTGTTGCCTCCTCCTTTGTTTTTCCCCTACCATCCCTTCCCTCCTACCTTCTCAACTACACCCCCCATGACCCCACCCCACCTACATTGTAAAGTTTGTTTTCGACATAGCGTCTTTTACATCTCATTGTTGCAATGGGTCAATCTGTTTCCCTATTTAAACATTTTGATTTTTCCCTCCCCTCCCCCCCAAATTATACCAACATCAAATATAGTGAAAACAGGAGTTATACCATGGGGGAGGGACATACAAAGCAACAAAAAAAATCACATGGTAACTTATAAATACATTAGAAACAATGGCAATGAAGAAATAACCACTTGTGTCCCTATCTTGGGGTTCATTTAGCTTAACATCATCTTATCTGAGCTTTTCTGCTTGTCCCAGACATATACTAGTTATTGCAAATAAGGGAAACCATGGAACCTATGTTTCTTTGGGCCTGGCTTACTTCATTAATATAATTTTTTCTGAGTCTTTCCATTTCCTAACAAATGGGGCAAAGTCAGTCTTAATGATGGAGGCATGGAATTCCATTGTGTATATATACCACATTTTCTTTTTTTTTTTTTGGGAGGGGGGTCCGGTCATGGGGCCTGAACTCTGGGCCTGGGCGCTATCCCTCAGCTCTTCAGCTCAAGGCTAGTGCTCTACCACATGAGCCACAGCGCCACTTCCAGCTTTTTTCTTTTTGCTTATGTGGTGCTGAGGAATCAAACCCAGGGCCTCATGCATGCAAGGCAAGCACTCTACCACTGAGCCACATTCCCAGCCCCATATACCATATTTTCTTGATCCATTCATCTACTGAGGGGCATCTGGGTTGGTTCCATATCTTAGCTATGGTAAATAATGCCGCAATAAATATAGTTGTGCTGGTAGCTTTAGTATGGTCTTCCAATGTCTTTAAAAACTGAAATTCCTAATATTTTAAGTACCTTGTTTCAAACTCTCTCTGAGGCAGAGCCAGAGAAAATCTATTATTCTGTTTTCATAAATGAGCAAAGATTCTGCATACATAATTAGCTTCCTCAGTGATACAAAAGAATACCAAAGTCAGATTTTTGTTGTGGTTTTTTTTTGGGGGGAGGGGGTGGAAGAGGCCAGTCTTGTGGCTTGAACTCAGGACTTAGGCCCCATCTCAGCTTTCTTGCTCAAGGCTGGCACTTTACCACTTGAGCCACAACTCTACTTCCAGCTTTTTGGTAATTAATTGAAGATAAGCATCTCGCAAGCTGAGTATGATTACAGATGTGAGCCACCAGCACCTGCTTGTACTTTCTAACTCAGTCCGTGCCTTTGCTAGATAGATGTTCTACCACTTGAACCATGCTCCAACTCTTTTTGTTTCAGGTGGTTTTTGTTTTCCAGATAACATCTCATGCTTTTTGCAGCCTCAGACCACAACCTTCCCACCTCTGCTTCTTGTGTAGCTGAGATTACAGGCAGGAACCACCACACCCAGCTTGTTTGTGGAGCGTTGGCAAGCTGTTAGGTCTTGCTGTGTGTTTTTTGTTATTTGGTTTTTGCCTGGGCTGGCCTCAAATCGTGATCATCTCTGCCTCCTGAGTAACCAGAATTATACAAGTGAACCAACACTTCTCTTTTTTTAAAGTAACAGTCTCACTGTTACCTATACTAGTCCTAAATTCCTAGGCTCAAATTATCGTCCTGCCTTAGCTTCTTGAGTAGCTGGAACTATAGGCATGTGCCACTGCACATGCACTGCACATGCCTATCCTACATATCAGTCCCCCCTTTTGTTTTTTTAATGACAGTTTATACCTTGGTCCTAGAAACTTTGGAGAAAGTGAGAGTGGTGACATTGCCATGGTCTAAATTTCCAGATTATTCCATTTTCCTGACTAGAAACCATTTTCTCTCGGTTTTGCAGTGCCAGAGGTAGAAGGAGAGGCAGAAAGCATCAGCTCCCTGTGTTCTCAGATCACCAATGCCTTCAGCACACCCTCTGAGGACCCCTTCTCCTCTGCTCCGATGACCAAACCAGTGACTGTGGTGGCACCACAGTCTCCTACCTTCCAAGGTTGGTGTTTCTGACTTGCTCACACATTCTAAAACTAATCTGCTGTTCACTAACTGCACTCGGCACCCTGAGCTTCACAAGCTGGTTGGACACGTGTATGGAGATCTTAGACTCACTGACTTCCCTATTCAGCCACATCCCTGGGCTTTGTCTCCTTCCCCTTTCCTAAGATGTCTGCACTCACTGTTCTGCATGTACATTCTTCATCTCCTACTAGGAGTTTCTCTTTCCTTCTCCTCTTTTGCTTTTTTCTTTCTGTTTTGTTGTTTGGTTTCAGCAAAGGTTTATTCTAGTATAACACTCAGGAAATGGAAGGTAAAGACTGCTAGGAATTTCTATAACCCTGATCCACTGCTTTAGTGGCCACTTGACTATTAAGGATCTGAAGGCCCAAGCAGTTTCCCAGAAGTAGCTGTCATCAGGACTTGGTCTGATACAAGGAACAGTGGTTCTTAACCAAAGGTAGTTTTTCCCTGTCAGAAAAATTTGTTATTGCTTCGTTTTGTTTTGTTTTTTGTTGGTTGTCGGGCTTGAACTCTGGGCCTGGGTGCTGTCCCTGAGCTCTTCAGCTCAAGGCTAGTACTCTACCACTTGAGATATAGCACCACTTCTGGTTTTCTGTTAGTTAATTGGAGATTAGAGTCTCACGGGCTTTCTTGTCCAGGCTGGCTTTGAACCATCATCCTCAGGTGATAAGGATGAGAAAAATGAGGCTCAAAGAGCCTTAGGTAGGTGAACTGCCGACATCCTACAGGGAGGATTTAAATGCAGATCTTTGTAAATATCTACTTCAGAACTGCTGTTGACTACTGACTGCCTGCTTTCAAGGCATTGGATGGACAAAACTGGGAAGACATAGTACTTTCTGTGCCTTGAAGGGGCTCCCAGTCTAGAGGGGATGTAATTTTTTCACAAACCTTATGAAATAGTACCAATACCATATGGTTGGCCAGTCTTAAATAGTGCCTATATTGTAGGCCAGGGGAAGGTACTTGTCTGCTCCATACTAAATATGACAAAGATGGGAGAGCTAGGATGAAGAGTAGAAGCTGATAATGGAGTAACAGTAGGAACAGGAACAAGGGTTACCAGATTATAAAAAGGAGATAAGGAAATAACACAGATATCACAGAGATACATTAATTCTGTAGCATTTATAAACTTATCCAGGAAATGAAAACATGCCAAGTTTTATTTCTCATGTTGTGCTCCTCCACATTGTCAACTGCCATTCCAAAATAGTAAATAGAAGTTTCAAAAAATAAACAATTTTATTACAGAATGTTATTATTCTATTATTCTCTCAGCATGCCTGATTTATGAATCGTAAGGGAAGTGGTGCTGTGGCTCAATGGTAGAGCACTAGCCTTGAGCACAGAGAGGCTAAGGGACAGAGCCCAAGCCCTGATTTCTGGCTCCACAATCAACGCTCCCCCCCCAAAAAAAAAGAAAGAAAGAAAACTTTACCATAAGTATGTAGGTATAGATAAGAACTTAATGCATATGGTGTTTGCCGCTCTCCTAGGCATCTGCAGAACATCTGGGAGCTACTCCCTCAGTACCAGGCCTATGGGACTTTGAGGGAATTAAATGAAATTATACACATAAAATATATCATTATGGATACAGTCCCAGTAATTAACTCACTACTGTTAGCATACTTGGAGCTTCTGGAAAAGTATAGAAATACTTAATCACTTAAGCCCAAGGCTGAATTATAGCTGGTGCCAATATTGGAATAATTAAGAGGGTTTGTTTTTTAGTTTTTTGGGTTTTTTGGTGGATTAGGGGATTGTTGCGGGGGAGGGTTGTGTGATTTTTTTTTCTGCTCATAACAGCTCTGTTCAACTTAATTTAAATGATCTATGTAGGCTTCATTTTCCTTCTCTGTATATACACATTTACCCCAAACAGTCTCACTTTTATTTGTTTCTTTTAGTTCCTTCTTTACCAGAAGGTATTGTGTATCCACTTCAAGATAGCATGATTATCCCAACATTACCTGTTCTTCTTGTCTCTTCCACCAGTATTGTACATTGGCCTGACTGACCCAGTTCCATGGACTCGCTTGTATACCCTGCATGAATTAACTCCATTGATGTTGTCTGCTCCCATTGTAGCTAATGGCACTGACTCAGCCTTCCATGTGCTTACTGCTAAGCCAGCTCATACTGCTCTAGCACCCGTAGCAATGCCTGTGCGTGAAACCAACCCTTGGGCCCATGTCCCTGATGCTGCTAACAAGGAAATTGCAGCCACACATCCGGGTAAGGTGGCCGCAGATGGTGGTGAGGAATCTGGGATCAGAGAAACCACACTGTTTCTAAAATCAGCCAGTTACTGAAGGGAACTAAATAAAGAAGAATCAATCCTTTTGGAAAAAATATGTTCCCTTTTGGAAGTGAACTTACTAAGAATGGATGGTGAAGGTGGGCAACAAAAGAGATTAGACTGGTAGCTCTTAGCACTGTAGAACAGAGCCATGCATAGAGCTTTTATAAAACAGATTCCTCATCTCCATTCCCAGAGAACCCATCACTGGGTTTAGTGGTCCATAGACATGCCTGTAGAAAGAGGACTCTGCAACAGCAGTTATACCAGAAGTAATACAAAAAGCACTTTATTTTTACCATTCTGTATTGTCAATTTTTTTTCTGTAATGAACATCTTCTAACGATAAAACTGAAAAGGTTTAAAGTTCTAATAGTCTTTCATCAAAAAGGCAACATATAACCAGGTATTAGTGGCTCATATTTATAATCCTATCTACTCAGGAGGCTCTGGGCAGAAAAGTCCCTGTGAAAATCTCATCTCCAATTAACCACTCAAAAAGTGGAAGTAAGCCGGGCACTGGTGGCCTGTAATCCTAGCTACTCAGGAGGCTGAGATCTGAGGATCCATGGTTCAAAGCCAGCCTGGGCAGTAAAGTCCATGACACTCTTATCTCCAATAACCCACTAGAAAACTGGAACTGGTGCTGTGGTTCAAGCAGTAGAGTACTTGCCTTGTACTGAAGAGCGCAGGGACAGCATCCAGGCCCAGAGGTCAAGCCTCATGACCAAAAATAAATAAAAGCAGAAGTGGTGCTGTGACTCAAGTAGTAGAGCACTAGCCTTGAGCACAAAGAGGCTCATGGACAGTGCCTCAGCCCTGAATTCAAGCCTAATGACTGACCACAATAAATAAATAAAAGGCAACATGTGTCTGAAAACCAGGTAGGGGCCAGCAAGGTATGAGCAGGTCCCTGGTAATTTTCTTTTTGTTCTATTAAAGATGAACCTGCCAGTCCTTTAGAGCGTGAAAGCTGGCTTCTGTTCTGTGGAAAAGCCATGATGACAAGGCAGGATTTCTGACACCAGGCAGCCACCTGCTAAGACAGGAACATGGTCTGACAGATTCTTTTTGTTCCACTACAAAATGTCCTTGGCTGGTAATACTTCTCTCCTACCAGAACCAGAAAATATCCTGCTAGAGGACTTGTCCTGAGTGGTAGAACCATTCAAATCACCAAAGTTAGAAGGTAAGGAAAGGAGCCACTGACTTCTCTTGTCTCTCTTCATCTTGTTGGTTCCAGGGACCGAGTGGGGTCAGTCTTCTGGTGCCGCCTCTCCAGGCCTCTTCCAGGCCGGGCATAGACGCACTCCCTCTGAGGCTGACCGCTGGCTAGAAGAAGTATCGAAGAGTGTCCGGGCCCAGCAGCCCCAGGTCTCAGCTGCCCCTCTGCAGCCAGTTCTCCAGCCACCTCCACCCACCGCCATCTCCCAGCCAGCACCACCTTTCCAAGGGAGTGCATTCCTCACCTCTCAGCCTGTGCCAGTGGGTGTGGTCACCCCCCTGCAGCCAGCCTTTGTCCCTGTCCAGTCCTATCCTGTGGCTAACGGGATGCCCTATTCAGCCCCTAACGTGCCTGTGGTAGGCATCACCCCCTCCCAGATGGTAGCCAATGTGTTTGGCACTGCAGGTCATCCTCAGGCTGCTCACCCCCGTCAGTCACCCAGCCTGGTCAGGCAGCAGACATTCCCTCAGTATGAGACAAGCAGTACCACTGCCAGTCCCTTCTTTAAGCCTCCTGCTCAGCACCTCAACGGTTCTGCAGCTTTCAATGGTGTAGATGATGGCAGGTTGGCTGCAGGGGACAAGCACACAGAGGTTCCTGCAGGCCACGGTCCAGTTGATCCTTTCGAAGCCCAGTGGGCTGCATTAGAAAGCAAGTCCAAGCAGCGTACTAACCCCTCCCCTACCAACCCATTCTCCAGGGACTTACAGAAGACATTTGAAATTGAACTTTAGGCGATCTTTACGGCATATGTATCTTGTCTGTACTTAGGCAAGGGCCGGGCATGAACGTCAAACAAGCAAAGGGGACCTGGTCTTCCCGGTCAGTCCACTTCTCACTAACCCTAAAGGAGCAAGTCCAGGCACCAAGTGCAGTGAGGGGTGATCTGGAAAGAAGTGGGGGAAACCAGTCCTAGAAAACACTTGCAGCTAGACTAAAGAAGCCAAGGAAGTGTCGCCCTCTGTACCTGCCTCCCTCACCCCCTTACAAACCTCTGGCAACAGAGAGGCAGAAGAATCTGAGCAGGAATCTGTATTCAAAGCACATTTTACTGGAATAGAAAACAGTAGGAAGCAAAATGACCTCCTTTCATTTTTCAGACCATTCACCTACTTCCTCCTAGTACTGGCCTGTCCTAGAGACCAGGAACAACGTGGCTTGTGCTCAGGCTAGGAAAAGCAGCAGGCTGTGCTGCCCGAATTCTTGTGTGCAACAGCACTGCTCAACAGAGCTAGATTTGGGGGGTCAAGTTGAGCTTCCATTTTGAGTTAACAGAATATTATAAATATATATCAAAAGCCAAAATCTTTATTTTTATGCATTTAGAATATTTTAAATAGTTCTCAATATTAAAAAGTTGTATAAGTTGTAAGTAATCTTGCCAAAAGTAAAAGGGTTAGTTGTAAGAAATTGTTCATAAGATTGATTTATCATTGATGCCTATGGAAGTAAAAAGAGGGAGGGTTGAAAGCTGCGGGCAGGATCCTGGTCTGTCTGTGGTCATTCATTGTAAGTAGCACATTGCAACAACAATCATACTTATGACCAATACCGTCACTAGATTGTGGTTTTAAATAAAGAAAATGAAAGCAGTATTGTCCTGGTTTTAAAACTATGATAAAACCCTAATGCCATTATTTTGATGAAATCAATCGATGCTCTAGAAAATGTTATTTTTTATATATTGTTGCAATTTCCTTACATTACTCCTTTATTTTAACACTAAGGTGACAATGACATAATCATATCCACAGAAGGGAACACAGGCTGTGTTGGTTTGTAATGTGGGTTTTGTCCTTTAAATTTTGTCCCTGCAAGTTTTGTGGGAATGGGAAATGTGGTTTTATTCACCGTGTGCACCCTCCCCTCCCCTCCCCTCCCCTCCCCTCCCCT